AAATTAGGCAGGTGCATAAATTTGGGCACCATTTTCATTTTATTGATTTCAAAACCTTTAGATTAATTATTGGAACTTAAATTTGATTTGATAAGCTCAGTGACCCTTGACCTCCACATACAGGTGACTCCAATTATGAGAAAGGGTATTTAAGGGGGGCAGTTGTAAAATTTTCTCCTATTTGCATCTTCTCTGAAGAGTATGAAAAGAACTGTTTGGGAAAAAATGCAAAAAGAAATGTTGACAAACCATGGATGAACAAAGGATTAAGAAATGCTTGTAAAAAAGAACTACTTGTATTCATGCTTCCTAAAACTGATAACAGTCAGAGGAGAGATACAAGAAATATAAAAACAAGTTAGTATGGATTAACATAAGAAGTATTATTGATATGAAATGAGGTTTGAGTTCTGAATTAACACCAGACCAAGACAAAGTTTATTGTGCAGGAATGAGACTCAGGAACCGCTTGGTTCGTCAGATCTAAACACATATTCCGATTAGTGGCAGAACRAGATAGAAGAATCTTCCAGTGAACAAAAGCCGCTAAACYGTTTCCAGTTGAAGGAGTCCAGATGGAAACTTTGAGTTGTCTGTGTTCCAGAACGGTGCTGTAAAGTTATATTTGCTCAGTTGGTTTGTTTGGTTCAGAGAGGCAAGAGTGGGATTCAGGGGCAGACGTGGGTCAACATTGGTAGTTCAGATAATATTTCCACGTAGAATGGAGCAGGCAGGTTCCCATAATCTGTGGTACAGGTGTGGATCAAGATCAGGGAAGTCAGATGGCTGAAGGTTCCGATCAGTGGCGAGACAAGGAGCAAAATCCGAGGAGCAAGGTGTCGTTACCAGTGAGACAGATGACTGGAATAATCCGACAGGGGCAAAGGTGAGAACTGTAGAACCAGGTGACATGAACAAGGTCGAGATCATGAGGCTATAACATGACATGAACTTCAACTTGGAATGCTGGAGAATCACAGGCGAGCTGATGATAATCTGGTGCCGAACAGAGGTGAGTGGCTGAGATAAATACTGGGTGGCACAGGTGAAACGAATGAGCAGATTACTGGGAACTGTGATGGGAGGGGAAGYGAGCAGACTGAGACAGGAACTGAATGAAGACTGTGAACTTGAGTAGAAAAGACTGTGATAACATGACTGTGGCAATAATCATAACAAATGTTAGTGATTTATTGAACAAAAGTAATGGTTGGGGAGTAATGAAWRGTGTTCTGAAAATCATTTAGCAAAATCAGGCATGATGTAAAGGATGACGAGGAAATGTATAATCAAAATCATCTTTTGCTGTGCTTTTGCACCTGTCGGCCACCCTTAGATTTCTCTGTAATTATTCATATTACAAATGATAAATGACTGACTGAACATTTTAAAACCATTCAGTTAAAAAAACAAACTTGTTGCACTGAATCTGTATACAAGTAATCTCAGAATGAACCTTAAAATGATCAGAGAAGGTAAAAAAGGCCTCTCCTCCTCCCTGCACAGCTTCTGAGGAGAGACAGAGTGAGGCTGGGGGGACGGACGGACTGAGCTCAGTTGGGTGTGTGTGTCAGGTTATAGAGGACCGACTGAATGTTTCTCAGAAACATTAGCAGAATAAATAAGCTCCAATTTTAAACCTGGTTGGGACCAGTTTAGTTTCAGAGCACTTGTTACCATGAAAATATGTGCCTCATCTTTTGTGCAACTGAATCAAGGATTAATTGATCCAGGATTACACCAAAATCCCAGTTTAATCCCTTTTCCTAGTTTCAGGCAACGGTCCACTGGTCCCCCAGTTTTAACGAGTGCAAAAATAATTATAATGTGATGAAAAAGTCAGACTCTTCTTTCTCCCTCATCTATAATTATTCTTTACAAGTTCAAGGAACAACTTTCTCACATACGTATATAAACAGAAAATACTGTATGTCTACCCCATTCTCTTATAAAGCTGATGCAATCAGCCATGTGTACCAGGGTTCATAGGCAAGTTAAATTTAAGACTTTTTTAATGCAAGTTGAAATAAAACCAACTTCACAATAAACACATATGTAAAAACATAGTGACAATTTTATTCAAATGTTTATTTTAACACAAAACAACTAGCTGCAAGAGGCATTCAGTAAATTCTTTATAAAGATAAATAAACGTTACCAATTATTTTAATTTTTGGGGTGAACTTCAATCATCCTACTTACAATGTGTTAACATTTTTAAGACCTCTGAAAGATTCATTTAAAACATTTCAATGCTAATTAAGGCCTGATCTTTGGATTAATGAATTCAATGCCTTTTAAGACTTTTTAAGGAGCCGCGGGTATGAGTGTACTCATGAACAAAAGCAGAAACTACATCAAAGTCACAAAATAATTATTGATCCTCACTGACATTAACTCACATTTAAGAGCGCATTTTATCTTTGTTCACAAACTATCAGAATAAACCAATAAAAGAAGAATGAGTTCTGATCTTAAAAAAATATTTTCTTCTTTTGCATCTTAACCATTTATATAAAATTCACCAACTATTCTGCAAGGATAAATAATTACCAGCAAGTAGCAAAATACAAAGCAGCAATGTAAACTCTACCCAATTATATTGTTTATTATATTCTAACTTTAAGAGAGCAGAAAAATAAACATCTACACCCCTCCAACATTCAAACACGTCGTTTGTAATAAAATGAAAGAAAACAGAAATCTTGCTTATTTGTGTCGTTTTATCTCGTGGTACACACATTCAGTCCAGACAGGATCCTCAGCTGATCTGTTGGTTATCACAGTTAAAGCACCATAATAAAGCTTTGCTGCACGTTGGTAATCCTGGAAACAAAGTTTTATTAGGATCAAAAATATCCTAGACAACAGTTTTTAAAATAGTTAAATAGTAATAGTTTAAAACAGTTTTGTTGTTATTGTTAAAAATAAGTTGTAACCAGATGACTGAAACTTAACATTCACCTTTACCTCTGCTAATGGGAGATGTGACGATCCCTCTTCAGATGCTGCTGAAAACAGAAACAGTAAACGTTAAAATCAGTTTGTGCTCATTTGAACTGGAAAATAATAAAAATGCACCTACCTGAACACCTGCAGCTGTTTGCTCTGCTCATCAGACACACTGAGAGGACCAGTAAAACACCCAGGATGAAGGTGCATGGAAAGACTCCACTCCAGATATAAGTGAGAAAGTCATCTTTATCTGCACAAAGACTGTTTGTTAGAACACGATTATTTACAAAGTGCTCTGAACCATCTGGTACTCACATTTGAAGTCCAGCTTGGTCCCGTTTCCAAACAGTAAGAGTCCACATACGGCTACAGCACAGTAGTAAGTACCGGTGTGAGACTCGTTCAGGTTTGTCACGGGCAGCTTGTAGACGCAGTTTTGTGATGATGTGTTGGGTTTCCTCTCACACAGACCATTCCTACCTCCGTGTGTGTAGACGACTCCTGGATGAAATCCTTCAGTGTTTCTGAACCAGTAAACACTGTGTTCTCCATCACACGTTCCACTTTGTACCATACATTTCAGAGTCACAGAACCTCCTGAGTGGGCCGTCTCAGATACTGACTGATGGACTAAAGTCTGGATGTTAGAGCCTGAACCTTTCACAGTCACTGTAGTACCCTCTGCAAATTCAAACCTATAAAGATAGCTGCTCGCACAGTAATAAGTGGCTGTGTCTGAAATGCTCAGATTTGTTATCTTCAGGTGATATTTACCCTTTGCTGTGTCCAGTGCAAAGCGTGGATTGTTTCTGAACTCATCGTAGAAAATTCCATTGGTTTCATACTTGTAGAAGGTTGAAATCAGCTTTGGTTTCGACCCCAGGTTTTGTCTGTACCAGTAAAACCGGGCATCAACAACATCTTCGTAGAAACACTGCAGAGTCAAACTATCTCCAGCTTTAACAGAAACAAAACCTTTCTGCTGTCGAACAGATGAGTAGAAATTCAAGCCATTTACCGAAACTGAAGTGAAGAGGGAGAAAGAATTATATTTAACATTTAAAACTTTGTTGAAATCTTGAAATGAAGTACCAATTAAATTCACTCACAAAGACAGAAACTCACCTCCCAGAACAAACCATGTCAGACAGAAGACAGACTGTACAGACATTGTCACTGTGCTCAGATTGTCCTGCTGAATGAAAACAACCTTGACCCGTTTTTCTGTTTTCACAAACTATGAAACTGGCTTTGATTGGCCAAGCAATTGTGATGTAATAACTCCTGTTTAGAAAACACTGTCCTGTCTCCTACCAGTCTACTGTTCAGAACTAGCCTGGTTTAAACCAGACCCTGTCCTTCACTTTGCTTCGTACAAGGGTCTGGACTTGATGCATAGAGAATCGATTTCTTGCAGGAAGCGTGACCTCTGCTGAAGCATGTGTGTGTTGTCGGTGTGAAGGAGGCTAAGTGGAAATCGCGTGTGCTGTAAACAACCCTACTGAGAGGAGAAATATACTGAGCCAAACAAGACG